GCCAAGGGCTCGGGGCTGGCCTGGCCTGGCCCTGGGCGCGCGGTGCTTGGGGGGGCCCCGCCCCTGGACACGTGGCTATGGGGGGGCCCCGCCCCCGGGCGCGCAGCTATGGGGGGGCCCCGCCCCCGGGCACGCAAGTGTCCCCGCCCCCTGGCGGGCAAACGGCCACGCCCCCAGGCGCCCGACAACCTCAAAAGGTTGGGGACCGCTGGTATATACTGTTGCTCTGGAGATAACCTACTTGGTATTTCTCAGAGCACCTAGTGGTTAAGTTGTGGACACTATTGAGAGCACTCTCAGGACTACGGGGTTTATGGTGTACCCAGCAGTAGCCTGCACAGAGGAAGTGAGGTCTGTGGAAAGTTGAAAGTCAGTGCAGAGATTGTTGGTTTCAAGGAGCCCATCCACAGCAGTCACAAAGATTGCTTTATGCTAAGGGCAGGTAGTGGTGAGAAACTTCAGAAGCCTAGATACCCCTGCAGATCATCACTTCTTCATTCTACAGAAATTTAGAAAAGTCCCCTCATTGTATGTGCACCACCTGCCTCCTTCTCCTGTCCTCATGGGATGGTCTAGTGATGTGGTGTGGCTGGGAATAGAAAACGGTGAGCTGAGGAAAAAAGGAAAGTAGGATCTGCCATAAAAATCTCTATACCCAGGGGAAGAATGGAAAAGAATGTGATGCTACCATATACCCTATCTAGGAAGAATATAATTAATCTAGGATCACCATTGAAGATCTGCCTTCAAGTAAGAATGAGATGAGCTTGCTGGGGCACAATTATGCAGGAAGAACTATGAGGTAGCATCAAACCCCACACACTCTCCTATGTGTGAGGTGACCATCTTAATGGGACAGTCCCTTAAGCACTCTGGAAGGCATCCTGCCTTTTTTTTAAAAAATGGGCCAATTGTCCCATATGTTGCATAGCAGGGGCCAGCTGTTTAAAGAGCCAGCTAGGGCAGGCTCCTCAAACAGAGCCCATGTGTGGCAGCCTACTTCTGTCCCTGACCTGCGCTGCTGCAAGCAGCCCTAGGGAAAAAGCCAAGGGGTTTCTCACACCATTGCCAGTTTCCCAGCAGCAATGCCCCTACACATATAGCCTACAGCTCCCTTGTGGCATCAGGTTAGGTAGGTAACCCAGTCCCAGGGCTGTCCCACACTCTCCCATCCCCCTGATTCCTGCACCTCCCCCACACCTCTCAGCCCACACATCCTCCTGCCCTGTCTCCTGCCCCCCTCAACCCAGCCTCCTTCACTAACCCCACCCATTCCCAGCCTCCTGCCTCCCCTCTCCAACCTCCTGCCCCCACCTTCCCTGCCCAGACTCCAGCAGCTTGCCTGCACACCCCCGGCCCTCCCCCTCACACTACCAGCCCTCATACTATCAGCAGCCCACACTGTGGAGGACAGCAAGATGATGATAAGGCAGACACTTCTAAAGAGCAGTAAGTAAAGTATATATTTTTAATTTACCTCTTAATTATAATAATGCAGTATGTCTTTTTAATGAGTGCTCAGTCAACTTAATGGTGATACTGAACATTTGTACTGCATAGTTCTAATTGATTGCCGTTGAACTTGCTTATATCCAAGCAACTTTACCAGGTGTCTCATATTTGACATAGGGAAACATGGTCACTCTACGTAGAGAGAGATTGGCTTGTCGTTAAGAGTTCAGATTCATGCCCCGAAAATTTTAAAGTCAGCTCTGCTTCCAATCAAGTCTTAGATGTCACAATTACCAGACATGTAGATGAATATGATTTGTTGGGAAATATTCAACATGGCTTTTGTAAAGGGGAGTCATGCCATCCCTATCTACTGGTATTCAAGGTTGGTCATACACACAGACATGGGAGTATATGTCAGGATAACATATCAATGTATTAAAAATGTGATTCCCCCAAATGAAAGTGACTCCCCATAATTTGTTCCCCACAACTTAAAGTGTTTAGATTTATTATTAATTCTTCTTATTATTATTGTTTGTTAAGATTGTTAAATGTTTAGATTTATTATTATTATTGCCCCTTTAGAATATAATGTATTAGGTCATATAACTTAGAACTGTTAAGAATATAATCCTATGTAGCCAGAAACAGCCCCCCCTCTGTGCCCCAAGGCATGCTCAAGCTTGTGCAAGGGGCTGCTTGAAATTGACATTGCA